CATCGTGGTGCATCAGCACCCTCCTGCCGCAGCTCTAGTCATAGCATGTCAACAAGACAGCATGAATTGTCTCGCCAAGCTTGGGCACGGGATTTGAACTTACACACAGACGACCCATCCTGGTAGCTGAAGAGAATCCTGGGTGAGCGACAGAGCAAACTGCCGCAAGCTGAGCATTCCATGGAGACTGCGCGCCCAGCTGGCACTAAGGTTGGGTCGCGCTTCCTGAGTCTTGCTGCCAGGCTTGGGTCTGCGTGCTGCTCTGGATGTACTCGCCCTGCAACCGTCAAGGCGCAAGTACAACCGATTAACCGATGGATATCAGACTGTACCGCATGCGGAATCTGCGGAATGTAGCGGAATGGCAAGTACGATTGCACGGCCCGCAGAGATGAACAAGCAAATCTGACATGAAGAGGCACACCAAGATTGTCTGGCATCTCTCTCGCCCGCACTTTCGTCCGCGTCGTGATGGACAGTCAATCATCTGATTGTTTTGCAAAACCGGAACAACGTCCCATGGACGGATGGTCAGTTGCTTGTCAGTATCAAGCAGTGACTCCTGTGCAGCTAGGGTCGGCAAACCCTAGGAGACCAGAGCTTGACGTCCTGATTATGGTCTCATGGCCCCAAGGCCAAGGGCAATCTTGCCTTGGAAACCTGCTCGGTCACGCAGCAGCACGCCAGGTGGCAAACCGTCCAGCTGTCAAGATTTGACAGGCATGTCAGCAAGGTCCAAGCGAGATCTCAGTACAAGCCTAAGCACCAAATACCAACAAAATCTCCACACCCACACCCCCAACATCTGATTCCAAAACTCCACAGTTTCTTCGGACCCGGACTTGCGGCACACCTTGAGTGCTTCAACACTCTGAGAAATTCTAGGCCGAGGAGTGACAGGAATCACTATTAGTCAGGTTCGTCGTCGCAAGAATCTGTCCCTGCTCGGCCTGTGCAAGTCTTCACTTACTTCAAGTTTTCAAACAGCATGCATGGACCACAAAGCTGCATGGTCGCCCTGCCCAGTCCCTTCACAACTAAGAGTCTTCAAGAGCGAGTTCCAACTTTGATCTGTAGACATGGTCTGCAGTGCAGAAAAGCGTAGCACTTGCAAAAGACACAGGGCTTCCGGCACAATGAGCCCGTGGCCGTACTCGGACAATCTCCATGTTTCAGGCAAAGACTCAAAGCAACGCCGCAACGCGATGAAGGCTGAAGGCTTGCCGACAACTAAACCAAGTCCGGCCTCACGCCTCAGCAGCTACAAACTTTCTGGCGGGGACTGCTGCGGACTGCGTGTTTGTCCCAAGACCTTCATCGAAAAGGCGTGCGCTAGCTCCGCGTCTGGATTGCCTGCTCAGCGATCGTCCAAGCACCTACTCATCTCGGAATTCATTGAAACGTTTGCAGTTAAAACTGGCTGATTCGGGCTGGTGCTTGCGTCTAATGCTCGCAATGCGCATCTGCCATCATCTGCCCTCGAATTTGTGCGCGCGGGGTCCCGGACGGGAAAAATAAACTGGCTGGCATTTCAATAAAGCCATTGCACATGCATCTCCACAGGCATCCATACACGTGTTGGACAATGGTACTTCCCGTCGACTACCCAGGAAACATACGCTCATTGAGCGTTCTGAGTGACCTTGTCATGCCCCTACTGACTCTGAGGGTCCCAAAACTACACCCATTCAAACTTCAAGGAGCTTCTACAGTGGAACCACGATCTCCATCGATTCTCTGCGCTTCTTTCCTCTTTTTTTTCTATATGGCTATCGAGTTGCTTCGGGGCGAGGTCCCTTGAAATTGTAGAGTCGCGGACATCCTTGGAGGTGAGCAGTCCTGAGGTATGCAACAGCACGTCCGGTACGACAGCAACTTGTGCCATCGTTCATCCCTCACTGCGTGGCGATGAGGTCTGGGCCCAGAAACCCAGGCGTGATTATAAGTAGGTTCAGATTACCATCGACCTATTCATCATCGTCAGTACTTGCTGTCTCGATTGTTCTCTGATGCTCCCAAGTTCCGGGAATTGCTGAGCATGAGACACAGGCAACGGCAAAAAAACAAAGCACATTAAAACACGTCGTCGGCTGCCCACAAGCAACCCAGAGAAAGATATTCAGAGGATGCTGGGATGACAATAGACCAAGCCACGTACACTTTCAGACAACAAGGACGAGCAATATCCTCTGAATAGCAAAACAGATTGTCTGCCTGCCGCGTCCCTTGTTTCCATATCTGCTGAACCTCTCAAGGATGTAACCAACAGTCGAGCACGAAGCTTCTGACCGTTGGCCCTTAAATCTGTGCTGTGCTGTCGGCAGTTCCTTCAAAGCGGAAGAGCGCCAGCTTCTGGGAAGTTCCCGAGAATGCAAAAGACAGGCACTGTCGGGGTTACAGCCTGGGAAGACTTCCTGGACAGAACAAAAATGGACAAGAACGTGCCCCATCTCCAGCGGAGTTCTGCTGGGCTAAGGAGCATGTCGAAGGCAGCGGGCGATTCAAAGCAGAAGCATGTGCCCTCGATGCCGTTTTCGGGGCATGAGGGAAGGCATATCTTGGGAGAAGTTTTGTGCCATACCGTCTCGGCCTCTCACTGCCCCTGAATCTCTCACATCCCCGCCGTCCCCGCCCTTGTCTCTGCACACATGCTGTCTGTGTGTGCTAATCCGACATGCCGTCGGTGCAAACACAGCAGCGCTGTTCAAACAAGTACGTAGGCTTTCAAACAGTTTTCATCAACCCCTGAGAAACGCCATCCGACTCGGGATGGTCTGTGCACCTTGAAAGTCAGTAGGGCATGATTCCACGGCAATTCTTGTACACTGTCTGTCAACAGGCTAACGAAGTCCTGCTAGGGTAGGCTACGCTTATGTGGTTAAGTCATGCCCTCGTCCAGTGAATTCAAGGCTGCCGCTATCGCGATGTGGCTGATCAGTACGAAAAGCTAAGCGCGCCTTTTCCGACCCTCTTTCCTTGGATCCATGCACGGACGGCTGCGAGCAGCATCTGTTTGTATCTGCCTGTGCCTGGGAAGCCACGTTCCTTGCCGCCTACTAGTTGCTGGTGCTTTCGGTCTTGTGATGGCTCCACAATTTATTATTGCAGGCACAGAATGGTATGCCAATGAAGGGAGGCCTCTTACAACTAGGGGCCGGACATGAAGCTGCAAGTACAGGAAACCTAGCCATCGCCAAAGGGCAAGTCTCCAAATCATCACCGTGATCATTGCACCTGCGCTGGGACAAGACACCATCGTCTCCCTGCTGCTAGCAGAGCTTTCACGGTGAGGACGGATGACCATTGCCAATTGTCAATTCCTATCCGATCCTATCCACAGTGCATGTTAAGGCGCCTTCAAAGAAAACTTCTTGGCTGCCGCCGACAGGATGTGCTTCCCCGCGACGGCATTCCTGAGCTAAATTGTGCTAAGCTGCTTGGTGGTGTAGAGCACATGGAGAGGTGCGTGTTGACATTCAAAGTTTGGGCCGGACTGGCAGCCGACACTGAAAGGCTTCCTGTCTACTACTTACTAGTAATTCAGCCTCGCATCTGCAGCTTTGGCCAGGCAAGCGTGAGAAGCCGCTTTACCTGCCAAGGGCAGACACGCAGCCCCACACGCGCACACACGAACAGACACACACACACACACAAAAAAAAAAAAAAACACACACACACACACATACACATTTCTTCTCTTGGCAAGGACCCATGCGAAGGACGTCGACAGGACAAGGCTGCTTTTTGAGGCATGAAGATGAGGTGAACATGTTCTCCCAACTTGTGCCAGACACCGGGAATGGCAAAAGTAAAAAGGATGAAATGATGTCAACGAGGGGTGTGGGTCCCCGGTTGCACCAGACGCGAGGAATGCTGCAACACAAAGTGAGATGGAAGATGAATGAAAATGACGTACCCCAAGCTGCCCCTCAGGGCCCGTCAGCGCACGAAAACGCAGGTACGTTTGGGTTGGGGAGGGGGGGTCTTCGTTGACCGAGACTCCCCCCCACAGTCCCCCCCACCCTTCCCGGCCCCCTGCGACTAACATTCGGGGAATGCACCATGTCCAGGTGTTTCCACCCACACACACCCAGACACACACGCACACATGCAATCACATGTACACGCACATGCCTACGCGCGCACACACACAGACAGACATATATTTCCGACATTCATTGGCTGATTCATGCAGTTTTCCACAACACGTACCTACATTCATACATAGATGGATACATACACGTTCACACATTCACACTTGCATGTGCATACATGCACGTGTGTTTCACCCCCGTACAGTACCTCCATGTGATAACTCTTATTAAGCCTTTTTGTCGAAGATACCTATCCAAGCAGCAAAGACACCGGAAATGCCGATTTTGCTTCAGAACTCTCAATAGCCCAAGTCTCAAATACCAGATTCCTGTCGGCCATAACAGATTTTTGATTCGGTACGGCATGAGCAGTAAGCTGTCCTCTTGCACATGCCCGAAACCCAAAACCGGATCTCCAGATGTCTACATGGCCAGATTTCCAGAATTGTTGACCCTACGGCTCTGTCAAACGTGCCCCGTCCAGCCGTCCCCCGTACCCCCCCACCCCCACCCCCAGCACTGCCCTACCGGAAATAAGACATGTGAAGTTATAACAAAGATTAATACAACATGTCAAGACGGGGGCTCCTGAAGGAGAGTTTCGGCAAACTGGCGTTCCGAGTTTCTCCGCTACTCTGTGCCCGCTCAAGAAGGCACTCAGCGGCGTTTGGGGCCGCGCTGCCAACGGAGCTGGGGGCCAGGAGCTCAAACACAAAGACTGCAACGTCTGTTGAAATTTGGTTGCGAACACGCAGGGGTAGGATGTCCCTCTCAGGCTCGTATTGGAGTCAAAGAGGGATGGATCCTGACTGACTCGACTCAGAGCAGCTGTGCTCACTACACAATACCACGCCACTGCGCATTGGCCACCTTTCAAGATGTGCTCAGAATAACGAATACCGTATGTTAAGTCTCGCCGCTCGCCTCGTCCTTCTCCGCACCATGGCTTGTCTCAATGACGCGCTGAACGATGTAGTTTCCAAAGCGGTCCTAAGAAAGGACTCACGGAAAGGAAAGGCTGCGTGTGGCATCTGGTGGAGCTTTCACATGGCACCTACTGCCACAACCTCTTATAATCCAAGCCAAGCAGCAAGCATGATTTGCAGGAGCGGAGGGCTTGTGCTTCGTGTGGAGGGAGAGAAGAAGGCCGTCATCAATGCTGCACGCTCCTGCATCGGAACTTCGGAGTAGGAGACGAAGCATGTTGAAGCAAGGAGCCCATTCACAACTGGAACTGAGGTCTGACAGCTTAGAAATCTGCGAAGTTCTGTCCTGGGTCAACTGGCATGCTTTGGGACCAGCTGAAACCTCCAAGCATTTCTCCAGCACCTTGGCATCCGATTTATCGAGGCGGCCGCAATTGACAAGCAGCAAAACCCAGGCAATGCTTGCTTAATGTTGAGCCCCATTTTGTGGAGGGGGGTGTGGAGGGGGGCGGGGGTGCCCCCTATGCAGACCATCAGGCTCCAACGACTCCGAGATCGGCTTTTGCCACCCGCACTGGTGACGCCGAGACGAGATTCGATAAACAAGATTAAATTCCTCAAGCAGTGCATCAAATCTTCGGGGTTCCAACATCCCGAGTTAAAAGGATATTTGTTTGCCGCGACCTCGCGTGGCGCCCGCGTTGCGCCCGCGTGCGGGGCGTGGCCAAACATGCATGGAGGTCTTGGAGGTCGCGAACTAAGGGTTTTCATGGTGTCATCATAATCCAGCATGCTTTCGGCCTCGCGAACGCCGTAGGTCACGCGCACATACGCGTGCGTTCCGTGCTCGACATCGTGTTCCTGCCCAGGTCCCAAGCCAGGCTTGCGCCGCTCTGTGTCGCAAGAATCCCCTCATCAACTTCAGAACTGTCCTTGGACCCTGGACTCGTCTTGACTACTGCTCTTGGCGTGCCTTTTGCGGACATCTTGGAGTGTGCCTTACATGGTATAGTCATTGTTTGGGGGCCCCTCGTTGGGCGCAGTTCAACGAGGGCTCAACATGCAAAGTGGCGTGCGCAAAGCCTGAGGTCGCTTGTCATTAAGATGTGCGCCAGGCTCGCGTGCCGGTTGCGCGAATACTTCATCACGTCCTCGCTGAAGAGCCTCATGACCTAAGACGAGACATGAGCGGATCCCTCTGGAAGCAGGCTGCACAAGCACAAACGAAGGACACACACACACACATGCTTGGCACTTGCTTGACGCATCTGGGCGGGCCAAGAAAGCTTCCAAGAGGCAAGGCGGGTATACTCCACGTTGCCGCACACCACAAGTGTCCGAATCACCTTACTAGCTTAGAGTCAGCAGCTTGAGCTACTTCACCCAGTCGCTCTTGGGCTGAAACGTTGCTGCTGTAGGGATCCTTCACCAATCGCTGGAGCTGCTCACCTGAAGAACATGTGTGTACTTCCGAAAGCGGCCCCGGAAGCGCTGCTTGTGCCCAGCGTGGTCCCACCTGGAACCATGAGGTCCTGCAGCAGATCCAGGAGTTCGGGACGGTGTCCGCAGTGCTCGATCAGCCGTTGCAGCACACGGCAGGCGTAGATGTGAAGCGCCGCTGCAACCACCGTCTCCTTCAGGCAATCTCAGGGAAGGAGAGAGGTACTGGGGGGGGAACAAACTATAAGGCGCCATATGGAAACTGCGCAGCGGGACCCGTCCTTCAATTCGGCCAAGATGAAAGTGAGTGCAGATGTTGGCAGAACTTGAATGATTTTCTGCATGACGAAGTTTCCATGCATGTGCCGGCTGCAGTAGAACCTTGGTCGCTGTGGTGCAAGATCCACAAAAAATGCCACGCCATTCCTTGCAAGCCATCTGCCATGCAAAAAGCAACATAACCTAGAACCATCAGACCCTTACAGTACCGGTCGCAAATTTGCAGTTGCAAACTGCAACCCTAAACAGTGAACCAAGCATTCAAGAAATTCGCCAGGCGGCACTTTGCCTCTCAGTTCTGGCCCAATAAGGCTTTGCATCTCGACTGGGGCCATACCCAAAGCATGTTGGATGACCAAGCAGCCGTGCTTGTCCTTCGAGCTGGCTTGTGTCTTTTGGTCTTTTGAGGGATTGAACCGCACGTGCGTACTCGATGAACTGACACATACAGACACAGCTGGGAGCGGATGTCGGAAGTCCTTCGACATCTTCAGGATAGATCCGCCCAAGCTCTCGCTCAGCTGGGCCCTCAAACTGGGATGCTCGCTGCACGAAGTGAAGAGTTGCTGCACCACTCCTGCGATGTGCAGTTCTCATCTTTGCCATACTTAGCCCAAAGTACAGCAAAGCAAAGTGTCCAGCCCCCGAACAGGGGGTCTCAATCACACGCTATGGCATGTCCCCACCCCCTCAAATAGTAAAAATAGTGCGACCAGCAGCGACGATTTCAAACCTATGCTTCTGCAGGGGTTAGGAGTTTCAGACTCTTCCTACGAGCGCCCCACCCTCTTCAAAACACATCCTCTAACGTCAAGACTAGAGCCCTGCGAACACCGCTTCGGTCCTGTGCCGGAGGCATCGCAGCCCAGCTCCACCACCAGGGGCCGCAACGCTGCAATCATCAGCCCCAGACCTGTGCCCCTAAGAGCTAAGGCCGCTAGGGCCGCTAGGACAACATGAGGACATCAATTAGTTTCAACATTCTAAGGTTCGTCTCTCTCGGCACATCTGATCATTGCAAACTCTCTTGGGCAACTCACGATCTGAATCAAGGACGCACACGCACGCGCACACACACACACACACACACACACACACACACCCACAGCCACACCCACACCCACACGCACACGCACACCCGCGCACGCGCACGCGCACGCGCATGCGCACGCGCACCCGCACCCGCACCTGCACACGCACACGCACACGCACACGCACGCGCGCACACACACACACACACACACACGCACACTCACTCACTCACTCACACACTCACACACATGCTGGTTCGTTCGTCCAACGGCTGAAACATCTCAGCTTTGCCGTCATGCCTTGGGCATCCATCGCGGACACGTGCTGCGCAAGAAGAAGAGCTCCTTTCGAGTCCCGAGCCTCAAGGAGAAGCACTCTCATAAGCAGCGGGTAGGTGTTTGCAAGATCGGGAAGCCCAATGAAGGCTGAAGGCTTTCCGGTGAGGCTACAAGTTTACGAAGTGTGATACCACCGCTGTGCTTCCACTGCGAGGCCCTGGCCAAACGAGGCACGCTCTCGATCAGCTGACGTAGCCTAGCATTTCAACAAACTCACACAAGTCATGCAAGGAGTCGGGAGTTGGTCTGCGCTCAGCCTCTAATTAATTCACCTCGGCGACCGAGGGTGTTCAGCGGTTCCGGCGACCCCTTGGAAGCCGTGCTTTCTCCAAGACCCTTCCTGCGAGCTTGAGGAGGCTCCTTCTTGAGCACGACAGTACAAAATGCATGCGAGCATCGCTCGGCTTCCTGGATGTACTCAGTGTTTTAAGGGTTTTTTTTGGCACCTTTGAAGGCGGGCTTTGCGCATATCCGGGCGACTGTCGCCCGTCCTGCGCGGCATCCCTACGCAGGTCGCATAGGTCGCGCAAACTCCCAGCTCCCGTGCTGGTCGACCCGGAATCGTCGCATCGGGAACGTGGACGTGAATTCAACTCCTAGGACCTAGCCGCTGGACCTAGCCGATAAAGGAAGTCAGCCGGAGGGTTTCTCTTCAAGAGGCAGGCGATTTCAGTATGATCTGCGAAACCGCATCTGAATCTCGTGGCCCGCAACCACCGGAGATTCGTCCAATGCTTCGATGTTCAGTTCGCGACGAACTTGGGACATGTTGGGACGCATTCCGCACGACCCTGCAAAAAATAACTCCTGCACGGAACGGAAGCGACGGCGCGTTCAAATGAATGATACAGCGAGAGTAGCTTTAAAAGCAAACATGTAATGCGCAGGCAGGATGCTCCTATAAGTACTTTCAAGTCATGGGCGCCATCCTGAGCCCTCGCTTCCACAAGCACTGGCTCGCATGGGGAAAACAAAAGTGGCGTAAACAATGCCTCGATGCTGCCCAAGCTCGCAGCGTCAAAGCTCCTCACAGCCATAGCTGGGTGGATAACAGAACCTGGACCTGACATCTTCCGGCAAAGGAGCATGTCAGTTCCATCTCCCACTGGCAATAAAAGGGAAGTGACCACTCCCCTGGCCTGGAGATGCTTCAACTCTGGTAGCAGTCACTGGACTGGAACAGTTGGAATCGACCTCCTGGCATTGGGATCCAACTAATTCTTGTGTTCAAACTCAGTAACTCAGTGCAGTCAGTGCAGAAGCGGGCCTCCAGGTCTGACAGTTCCTCGATCATAGCTTCTTGTTCTGCCGCAGTTGACATCGATGATTTGGAGATCTGCCGCGCTTTTCCAGTTCCGTCGCCTGACTCGAGAACTCCACTGGCGAATGCACCGCAACCCCAGTGTTGCAATATACAGTACTAGAGGACAGGCACGCTACGCCATCCATCTCCAAACCCGCGCCCTTTTTGGGCTGTCCCAAGTTCCTTTCTCACACTGTCCCCTCCGGGCACGAGAGAAGAGTCTGGAGTCTGTTTCCAATCAGCTCTCGCCCCAAAGGATGCACGCATTCTGTGGCCGTCCCGCTCCACCAAGGAAATTACAAAACTGCGGAACACTGTAGCTGAGAGAAGACAACAGTTCTACAGCTGTCTCTCGCATTTCACAATTTTGGTCCAGTGACAGCATTTGTTCAACGATCCTGCCGCCTAAGCGAACAACTCAAAAACAAAGAAAGAGCTGCGCTCTCGACTGTTGTTGCTCTGTTTTCCTGTTCGCCCAAATCTGCAGTGAATCTGCAGTGAGGCTAACACCTGATTGCGCGCACTTTTCCCATCTAAGCAGGATGTTGCATGGCGCCAAACCCTACCTTGTCGCTCTGCGGCGATGTAACACAACACATCGACTGATGCACTCTCGGCTCAGGCACAACGGGCCTCTTGAATGTCTCTGAGTGCTGCACCGAAGCGGCCCATCGGCACAGCGCAAGGCTTCGAAGTGGGTGCTGATGGCTTCACGTGCTCCAAACCTGCCCGAGCTCTGTGCTGACTTCATCCCACCAGGGCCCCTCTGCTGCGCATCCCAGCTCTGCGCTGTCAGGTAGAGGGCCATGAATCTGTCATAAATGTCATAATATATAAATTATAAAAGAGGGCGAAGGCCTGGTGGAGGCCGCAAGGCGGCCTGGAGCTCTGCCTGGGCGCAAAGAAGCCCTCAGCTTTAGTTCGTCCGTGGTGTACATGGCTCGCCCGGGGCTGACCCAAGATGCGGAACACTAACTGGGCCACAGTAGGCAATTTTTTTCTACGCCTCACGACCCAAATTCAAAGCAGCTCTGCAATGACATCTTGTCTCATACGACCATAATAAAGCTTCTAGAAGCGGGTCTGCCTGGGCTTTCTGGACAGCCATCGCACGGGCGACCTCAAGCGGGTGGGGTGCCTGAGTAAAGCAGGTCGGAGCGAATGAAAAAATTGACAAGGATACGAAGGGCCTTGGGAAGTGGTTGGAGACATGCACATTGACACATGCCAAGGCGCCGTGGGCCAAGCCTGCGGCAGCATCGAGGGATGTGTGCTCAGCTCCTGGGCACGGTCTCACCATATCCCATCTCACAGCGAGACTGCAAGACTTTCCTGCTTGGAGCGCGTTAGGTGTTCAGCTCTTCTCGGCAGAGCTTGGATGTGTTGCCTTGACTTCTTCTTGGGCGCACCTGTCGTGCTAGCGGCAAAGCAAAGAATACCCAACGACTCGCCGTGGTTCAGGAGCACTCTGCATTGGCAGAGATGCGTTGTTCCCCATCTGGTTCTGAAGGAAGGAAGCGAGAAGCTGCTGTGCATAAGAACCTGCTCAGGCAGAGGCAAGTCTGGCAAGCGCTTTCGGCATCTGCTGCCGCCTTGGGTCATCTCCATGCTGCTGTTCTTGAAACTCAAAGACCTTGGCTGCATGGGTCTGGATTGGCAGTCAAATTGAATGGATGACAGAGGGAACTTGGCCAACCCAAGGGCCCTGCAATCAACAACATTCAACAACAAAGTTTCTGGCCGACTTGGCTTTCCAAGTGAACGTCGAACAGGCGCCAACGCGAAGCGGCAAAAGCTCTTGAACCACCGTGGCAATGTGTGCCACTGGCCACTGGTACAAGGACGAGCATCGAAAGGTGTCAACGCAGCATGCAATGCGCAGGCCACACGTTTTTGATGCTGGCTTTCTGTCCCTAGGAGTCTAGGAGTCTAGCCTTGGGCCGCAAGGCATCAGAGAAACATCGCGAATCCGAATCACTGTGGCCTCCTGGGTCCCGTCCATAAGCCCACAACTCCCAAAAAAGGTGGCCTTTGGGACTTGGTGAGCAAGTTGCTATGACACGTCGTACGATAGTATCGGATAGTAAGAATCTGTACCCCGGCAAACGAAAGGAACCGGGGCGCAGGAGAAAGCACTCTGTGGAAGCTCAAGGGCAGACTCTTGAAACACTTAGATTCAAACTGCTTCCATACTGCACAACACTCGGAACTAGGATCTCGCAGTGTGGCGCGAACCCACACATGGCCCAGCTTTGGGGCACATCTTGATCTCACAGAATCTCACACCTCAACGGCTGTCCGTACTTCTCACCGAAAGCACTCTTGGCAGATGGAGGCACGACGTCGTATTGGTTGCTGCGCAGGTGCCCGTCGTCTACTGCTTCCGCAACGAAGTTCAAGGCATGCTTTGAATATCTTGGAATCATTGCCTGTTCCATGTTGAAAAACCCAACAAAGTTAACGTTCAACACGAGACAATGAATTCACGTTGCGAGAGGCCGGCGCTGGATCCTACATTAAAAATGCACTTACAGGAATGCTCTGATGTCTCGCAACCCTGGCAGGGGCTTGCCGGTTGCGCTTGCGAAGGCATGAGATGCGCAACGAAGACGTCTAAGCAGCTCAAATATTTCCTCACACTTCCGCTCTCTTCCGCAAGCGTGTGACACCAGAGTCCTGGCAGCTGGAGGAGGCACTTTTTAGGGCGACAGAGGCCACGGGACTCATGCCCCGGATACCGAATTTTGGGGACCTAGGGACCTAGAGTGCCGCTGACCTTCCATGTCCCAGAATCCACACACATGTCTACGCGGAGCTCTGTCGGGGTACCAGCCCTCCGCAGAGGAGGAAGCTTGCCAGGTCTTGTACTGGCAACGCCGATGCTGCTCTCCCTTCCCCTCTCCTCAAGCTTCAATAGACCCAAGGGTCTCGGGGGTCAAAGTCAGCGTGCATGGCTATCCATGCAAAGAACTGAAGAGCAAAACCGTTCAAGCTTGAAACATGTGTGGTTGCAAGCAGGCCGGGCCAAATTTGCAAGGGCTTGTCCATGCTATGAACAAGGCATAATGCCCAATGTATCCCTGACGAAAGGTGTGGTGCAGACAATTCGTGTTTCAAGCTCTAGGGAACTCCCGGCATATATACATCGAGAGATCTGCAACTGATCACGGCTGCAAGGCATGCCAGGACTCACTCCTGATACCGAGCCAATGTCAGCTGCCTCTGGCTTCAAGGCGCGGCGAAATATAAAACTAAACTGCGTGCACGTCTCTGTATTTGACATGACCTGCCCTTGGCTGGAACATATCCTGGGCTGCCCGAAGGGGGGTGCAAGAACCTGCTCTGAAACGTTCCCTCTACAAATCGCAAATGGACATGCCCTTGGGGTTACCACACAGCAAAGGACAGAACTCACGCGCCACCGGTTCGCTCCAAGAGATGCCAGGGTACATCTGCCCAACGAACCAACGCCCTACTACCTCATGGTACCCATAGATCCTGGACCCGAAGAATCCGAAGAGAAAACGACGAAATCCTGTGTCTCAGCAGTGGATACGATTCACTCAGAGAGCCCTGGCACTCCTAAGCTTCCCAATACGGGAATTGGACGAATTATGTTAGCATGGCACACCATGGCATAATCTGGCCATCCAGGTGCATCACCAAGCTAAGCTGGCTTTCCTTGGTCATCCAACCAGAAGCTGTCAACTCTAGCTGCTAGCTGCTTTGATATGTTCTTACATGAACCAGTCCATTGGAGCCATGTCTGAATTGATTGCAATTGCAGGATGTGATTCTGGTCAGCGAAGCGGGTTGAACGACTGTAGGAACTCAGCTAGCAAACCTGTGCAAATTCCCGGCAAGCAGAGATGTTCAGATCCCTTGTAGCACGCCATGCCGAAAGCCAAAGCTTGCAAAGCTGATCATTGTTAGAGCAACGCTCCTTCAAGTGCCAAAGTAGGCTAAGGGATCCGATAGCTGGTCCTGCTGCAGGGTTTGCTGCAGAAGCATTCATCGCAGCGAAGATTAAAACTAAGCAGTGGGCGCAGAAAGTGCAGCAGCCACGATGTGCAAACTAAGCCTTGCTAACGGAATGCTCAAGATCGGTGCCCCGATGCGTGCATCATCCAATGGGCAGCTTGTCCAAGTGCCGAGGACTAGATTGCTCCTGTGGTCTCTGCAAGGGACTGAATGCCTTCTTAGAAGACATGTGACATTCTGACCTCGACCAACTGGATCACCGACAGAAGCAGGGCATACTTTTGTACGCCGTGCACAAAGACGAGCAGCTCAGCAGCTCTACAGCTTAGCCAAATTCGTGGGCTTTGGCACAAGCTGTACAGATTGGCGAGAATCGTCTACAACATGATGGTTGTGATGGGCCCTCCTCCGAATCGTTTGCGGGCGGCCTTATGGCAGAGCTTCGTTAGATTTTCGTCAAGCTGAACTATGCAGAGATCATGCATGAAACTGAAATGGGGTAATGGTTGGTGTGCAACCCCGATCTTCCAAGCAGCTGCCACAATGTGCCTCCCATTGGAAGAGGTCCTGAGCAGCTTGGAACTCAGAGTATGCAGAGTGGGGTAAGAGCGCAGAAGGTGCGCAATGGATTTGAACCGCTTGAAGCCCAGCAGTTTAGCTTGTGCAGTTCCTTGCGGGTATCCGCTCGCAAGAAGAACCTTAAGAGAACACTCTCCCTGGTTGACCTACAAGCTCATGCCTGTGGATGCGCAACACAGAGCCCATGGTCATTGAGGAGAAATCCGGTGAAGGTCGTTTCAAAATTGCTTCCAGGTGGTGCATGGTTTTGTCCAAGGCTTGGAGCCTTGATTCGTGTCAGTGCCGGGCCAGGGTTAATCAGACCCTTTTCCCACAGGGTCTGCTCAGGTCACCTCCAACAATGAATGAAAGCTGCGACAAGAAAGAAAGCGGCCTCAAATCGACTACTTATAACCTGCAACACTGACAAGCTGCCATCTGCATGGGGTTGAAAGTTGAAGTCCCTGGGATACACGCAGTGATAGATAGCCCTGACGTAGGCTAAGATCGATCTTGAGACGCCCGGCGCGTGGCAGATGCAAGCTGATCGGAACTCTGATCAAGGTGCGCATGTGGGTATTTCCCACAGTAGGGATACCCCTTTTATACCCCAAATAGAATCCTCTTTGAAGGGACACGCAAACGCCCAAAAACGTACCCCTATCTTCGGAACCCCCCCTATATTGCAGAAGGATGCCCTGCCCATCTTCAATTGGACCTTCCCTCACAACTGGCAATCCTGGGCCTTGCGCCTCGAGTACAGACATGATACTCTAGCAGCCAAAGGCCAAAACTAGAACAGTCGTACAGACCCATCCAACCTCCCCCACCTTACTTGCCTCGTGGTTCTGAGACCGTGTTCTGTCAAGTCAGTCAAGTCCCTCAATTCAGGAATAAGCTACGTCGATCATCCAACTGTTACGCAAATTCTCCCGAAAACACACACTGCAAGAGGATGTATACTCATACGCAGACAACCTCGATTCCTCAGCCCTCAACCTCAACCCCAAGTACTGGCAGACATGAACTCAAAACGAGCATCTGCAACTTGGCCCAAGATCGGTGTAGCAGTTGCTCAACGCGAACCACCTTCAGATTCTGGGCAAGCATAAGGAGTATTCAGTGCCGTGGTTGTAATCAACGCACCCCTTTACCCTGCAACGCCCATACCCCCTGAAGCAAATGCATGTAGTTCCGGGGTTCTCAAGTTTTTCTCACTCAGCTAGCTACTCCCACACCCAGACGGTCCCTGGACTGCCTACCTCCAGACAATCCCGCGAGGAATCCCCCGAAGTATCTCGGAGGGCCCACCCCCAAGGAATCCCGGAATCCCACCAGAGCACCTAGAGTGCTCGCCGTCATGCACAGAGAATCCCGCAGCGAATTCCGCATGCCCTCCCTCAGAGAACCTGGCGGAGAATTTCGCAGAGTATCCCGGAAGAGCCTGCATGAGCCTGCCCGAGAAAACCCCACAGAGAACCATGTGGATGATCTGTCTGAGTCCGTTGGCCACCCGCGCAAGCAGACTAGGCGCACTGCGTCCCAAACATCCGTGCAAATCATATCCTGACGTCTTCGCATGGGAGAGATTGGCAGGCCTCAGTGTCCTCACAGCACTCAATCACTCGCTGGGCGATGTAGTTGCCGAAGCGGTCCTTTGCCAGAATGGCTGGTCCAAAATGTCCAAACTACCGCCATGAACCCTTTTAAAAAAACCGAGACAGGTTTTTGGATCGTCTCGACGCTACTCGCGTCCGCAGCAGGGAAACCTGCTTGAAGGATGGCTTCCACAAAAGGCCTGGCTTTCGGAACTTGGAGGCTACATTGGCTACCAGCAAGTTGAGGGAGAGACTTTGTCACTTTGTGCTACGGGAAGAAGGCCGCATCCGACCTGCTCAAGCACCGAGCATCCACTGAGCCTGTACCCAATACAAATCAACCGCACACAACCTCGAACTCGAGTGAATCCTCTCAAGGCCGCAATTTTTGCGACTTCCACAGCTGCCCACTGGCCCAATACTGGCCCACTCAAGATATGCCAAGCTTCCAGCATGATCTGCAGAAATGGT